CAATTGTGATGCATTGACAGGCGGAGTCTCTCATTGTCAATTAGACGCGTTAGCTCGTGGCTTTTGCGCAAATGCAAATGAGCAAACGCGAGGCGCGCTTCACTCTTTTTGATATATTCCGCAGGTCGAACGGCAGCACTTTGCATCGGAGAAATGAAATTACTGCAACCAGTTACGTGTTAATATTAATATGCTGTTGACTTTTAATCGCCGGCGAATATTTGAATGAATAATACGCCGGGGAGAGGTGAATGTTGCTTCCTTAATAATACAGCGTTTAATATATTTGCGAAATGAAATAACGTTAAACATGGGGGGGGGGGGGGGGGGGGGGGGGGGGGGGGGAGGGTCACGTCTAATTAACCTCTGCAATAATTATAAACGCTTGAGAAAAATTTCACAATAATCCCGCAGATTCCAGTAAACTTTTCACCCCCTTTCAAACGACATCATAGTTGAAGGTATCCTCGTGCACTTGACATTCACACATAGCATGAAACAAAACAAAACTGATCAATCCGAATAAATTGAGTCATTGTTCATAATCCGACAATGATCAAAGGTGTGCCAACAAGCACACCCTTGAATGTAACTGGCCAAATATTCTAACGCAGGACCTTCCTGGAAACAAAACGCTGTCTTGAGACTCACTTGAATTAAGTAAATGTTTATTGTTGTTTAGAGTGAGGAGTTTGAGCGATGAAATCGTCTCCTGTGCAAGTGTTAGGTGGATTGTTAGGACGACAACATTGTCTAATTCCATCGCAAGATCAGTCGAGACGGCGGGCGCCATGGATAGAGAGAGATAAAGCGAGGCCCATCTTCCAGCATAGAGTTAATCATGGCTGACGACGATGATTACATAGAGTATTTCGCTGCTTGCTACGTTGACACTATACAGCGAATAGTAGCAATATTAATTAGCCTAATTGCTTGTTCTGTTTAGTGAACGGTATTCGTTCTAATTTGCCTGACTGCACAATTGTTCATGCCATCCGCCAGGCGGATGTACGGCACAAGTAACATCATTGCCACCGCTATTCTCAACCAGGTGAGAACCCATTGACCAAATTACCCGGGATAGTCCCGATCTCATCTCAGATCTCATAAGCCGAGCGGCTTTGAGGCTGCATGGTGCTGCTCTGGAATGGGTGACCACCATCCTCAGTCAGGTTTGGCGTAGCCTGCTAAGGGGCCACGTGATGGTCAGCAGAGGCTACGTGCAGACTAATCTCTTGATGCATTGTACTTCGGTCATCCCACGCAGTGTCAGTGCGGGGCCTGTAGCATATGTTATAAAGGGGCCATAAGTAAAAAAAAAGACTTAAATATTAAAACACAATTTTTCTACTTGCATAGTAAAATAATTGTCAGTTTAACACGTATTTTTGCATTTGCTATACAGCCAGACAATACGAGAAATCGCTAACCTTAAACACCCAGTCGTTCATAAAAAGTAGAAGGCAGTATAGTACTATAGTAATAGAGCAAGTGCAGAATCATTGAACCGGAATTGATAGCTTGAAAGCATTTAGCGCGGGGCCCTTGAAAGTGCGGGGCCCGTAGCATATGTAGCTACTTTTGCTCCGAGGATAATCCGGCACTGATCCCACGTCTATACTAGTCGCCTTCAGCAACCGGCAGTGGACCACGCGTGGGTGAAGTATGGTTAAATAATCCCCACGATCTACCCGGCGTGTGGGCGGACCTCATCCAGCAGTGGATTGACAAAAGGACTGTACGTGTACATTAGAACCCACTCAGACTACAAGTGCAGTCGTGTTTTTTGTTTTTCTTTCTCCAAGGGCGACCTCGGTTGTTCCAAAGGCAAAGCACGGGGAACAGAGACAACTGCACAAACCGACATCTGAATGCAAATATCCTACAGCAAGAGACATAAGCATATCTAAACAATTTAGATACATCAGAATGAAACATACTAACATAAAACGGAATACAGAGTAGCAATCAAATTAGGTTTAAACAAAGCCTAATTACTCACGGAATATTTCCCGGGCCTCCCCTAACACACCCGAACCCTGCCGGTAAAAAAATTTTCCTGGACAGCTCCCGGCTGAAATTAAATCGTGGCTTTGTAGCAAAGAGCAGAAGGAGCCAACCGCACCTGTACGGGCGTCACGCGCAGGGTGTAGAAGGCACACGTGAAGTTCTGTCGTAACGGGTTCCTTCACGCGCGAGCCCAGGGCTGTGGCAAGTTGGCAATGATTACATACGCAGAAGACGCTGAAGAAGAGCTCGGCTCGTGTACGAGAGTAGGAGCGTCCGTTGCTGTTGCTGGCTCATGTGAGCAGAGACGAAACTGGCGGTAGTAGGCAAGGTGTTGAAGTTAAACTGTATTTGTTGTAATCGTGCATTGTTATTAATGGACACCATATGCTTAGGCATAACACGAGCACGCTTTGGTGCACCCTGAGGCCTGTTGATTATGAAGTGTATGCAGCTGCCAGTTTATCTTTGGCAATGACACAAACCTACCCCATCTGGGCACTTCACTAGTATTCGTTAATGTCCATTAATGTCTTAGCCTTACACACGTTTAGTGCTCTGCAATGTGCTTTTTTTTCTTCCGTTGGGTGTTGATTAAATACACGTCAGAACCTCGGCTAAAGCCTTTTGTAACCTATTGTATTAATCTCATCACCTGGGAGTGCAATAATGAATGTAATTTATTCTGCTGTTCGTTTGCTGCTCGCGCCGTTGCGTAATTACGCACACGTGCTCCGACGCCGAGCAAAGTGAGCAGACCGGCACGGCGCTCGTCTTCACGGGCTGTAATGCGTGTTCAAGTCCTGCATTGTGTGACCAATAAGGACCCATTGACAATAGTGTGAGCAGTAAAGGCTCGGATAATGCAACACACGGGTGGTGGAGCGGTGGCACAGTGGTTAGCGCAGTGCGCTATGAATTCGGCTACTACCGTAATTCGATTTCCAGCCGCGGCCAAGTAGGATCAGTGTTTCGGTTGTTCTTTGAACGGGTTCTGGGTTCCTCCACACCTCAATCTTCACCAACCCGCACTTGTCAGCGAGGTGAAGCATGGTCAAACAATCCCGAGACCAATACAGCGTGTTGGAGGCCTTAATTTAGCAGTGGCTTTACAAACGGCTGTACATTATTATTATCAACATCATCAATATCCAGAACACACGCGCATATTGAGAGATGTTGCATCAATACATCGACGTTTTAATAGTGCAGTCTGGATATGCAATGCGTTCATATCCTGAGCATGTTGTGTACCGTGGTCCGTGGGGGTGTTGGAAACGTGGGGGGGGGGGGGGTCGGATAGAAATATCTCTGAGCTGCTTTTAGATCATCGCGAATATGGTTCGCGTTGCACGAGTGAGATGGACTGTGGCATCGCAGGGCCGTGAGGGATGGTGACGGCTGCAGGGGAGGCCTCGGCGGCTGATGATCATCATAATCATTTATTAGACGACGATAGACGTACCGCCAACAGTCTCGAAATTGTCACGTCAACGCACAGCAATCCGTACATCAACCGCCGAACGAAACTTATGAATAGGGTCATATATTTTGGTGTTAATAAATATATATTTTTGGTGTTAATAAATATCTGCAATTTTGTCAGTCCCATAGGTATGCCCGCCAGCTATGCACGTCGAAATTTCATTTTGAAAAGAAAAAAGCGAAAATGTGTGAATTCTTAAAGGAAAAAAGGAGAAACACTCACCCATCGCCGTGAAAGGCGTACGCTCACATTACACGGGGTAGACCGACACAAGCATTCCATTTACACAAAATAACGTGCCTTTATTTTGTTGTAAACTACATCACCAACAAGAAAAAAAACATTTGACATTTCTGCATCAGCAACATCACACGATGACAAACGTGCACAGAAACCAAACGAACATGCTAACACTATTACAAAAGGCTACGATAACGACAATAACAAAACAGCGAACTCGAAGCACATACAATTGTACAGTAAATAAAACAAAAGGACACCGTTTCATATTCGCAGCTTTCTCGAGTTGGCGTCGAAGAGGCGTCCAATTGGTCACGCTCAAATCTTGGGATAAAACGCAGACGGGTCCCGTACTCCCCTCTGAAAGGCAACAGCAGCAGCATCACCAGCAGCAGCAGCAGCATCACCAGCAGCAGCATCACCAGCAGCAGCAATGAAGTGTCAGTGTGCGCATCGCATCGCACGATACCCATACTTCACCTGGCAGGGACGACGGTGTGCATGGGTGCGGTTGCAGCCGACCGACCCACACCGCGCGTCGCCCGAGTGGCTCCCACTCCCAGCCCGGGTGAAATTGACAGTGAAATGGGCACAGCCCCTGGGTGAAAGGGAAATGCCTCGACTGCATTGGCGGCCAAGCCTCGCAGCAGCCCCCCCCCCCCCCCCCCTTGTCTGCATGCGCAGCACGTGCGTCCGTCTTTCTGCGCCCGCATTCATTATGTGACGGAATTTACACTCGGGGACCCGGTAGGGTTGTGTTTTTTTTTCTCTTTTTCTCCAACCCCCCCCCCCCCCAACTCCTCCCTCCCCCCACTTCCTCCCCCCCCCCCCCATCCAACTCCTCCATAGCTCGCGCTCTGTTTCGCGAGGTTTCACCCCGTGGATTTTCCCCCGGAATATCCAGCCTCTCTCTGTGCCGATATCAGTGCCGTGCTAATCCAGCTTGGCCAGCAGTGCGCACTGGCCGACTGCCTCGCCCGTTCGCTCCACGTGCGACGGGGAAGAGGCCAAACGAGTTTCGGAAGTGTGGGCAGCGGCCAGGGCATTTTATCACTTTTGTGTGTGTGAGCGTGTGTGAGCGTGTGTGTGTGTGAGCTCTCTTCCAATTCGCTCACACACACACCCCAATCACATCCCCCCCCCCCCCTTCATTCCCCATCCCACCACCATCTCGCCGCACTCCCACCACCCACTACCACCACCACCACCGCTTCCCCCCCCTCTCCCCCACGCACCCACATCACCACCCCTTCCATACCCCCCCACCACCACCACCTTCCCAAGTCTATCCACAACCACCACCCCCCATTCAGCCGTCCTGTCTCCTCCTCAACCCTGAGCCACCACAGCAGCAGCCCTTCGGCTGGAAGCTGCGCAGTGGCAGCAGCAGCAGACAATGTTCGTGCGGGACGGCACCACTGCTCTGCGCGAGACCACGGCAAACTTTTGCTGCTAAGAGGACTTTTTTTGTGCGCACTGCGAGCAAACAGCGGCGCACAAGTTTTTTTGTTTTCTTTTAATCTTTCCGTCCGGGTGGTTAGGAGTGATTTAAAAGAAAATAATTATATTTTTTGCCAGCTGATATTTTTTTTTTAGATTGTAGTTGTTTCAAAACTGTTTGGACATTGGTCGGTTTTATTTATTTATTTAGTATTTCTTTTTATCTATATAAACAGTAGACATTTAATTTATACAAGTCACTCTCTCGCTCGATCCATCGCGGCAATGATCAGGATTTTCCCAGACTTTGGCTTTCAAGCCACGATGGAAGGCGGTGGTGGGTCGGCTCCGGGCGCTACTGGCCCGGCCAGAGTGGTGGACTCTGGCAACGGAGCGCCTCCCAACGTGCTCGGCTTGCCCTCCTACCAGCAGAGGTAAGCACTGCCACAGCGCTCAGCAGCCACCTCCAAGACCCATCTCATACACGTGGACAGGGCCACTCATGACCGGCTCTTTGCCAATGCCTTTCTCAGTGTCTCTTGCCTCATGGGCAATTAATTGTCTCGCAACTGTCACCCTGGCTGCGCGTGGCAATTGTGACCACGGCTGCATGTGTCCGTTGCTATAAGTTCTGTGTCTGTGTCATCATCATCAGCCATGGTCGAAGAGGCACACGAATGATAAACGCTCTCGATTCCAATCATTTGCTGCTGGATGAAGGCCTCTCTCCCCATGGTTCCGCCACCCCTCGCGATTCTGCGATGTAATAATCCACCTAGCACATGAACTCATTTCAGTTTGTGCAATAGTGTGGTCCGTGATATAGAAGGTGGCGTGCTGTGTGCGCGTTGGGGTTCGTGTGTGTGTGTAGTTAGATAGATGTGTGCATTGTACGCATTGCCTGCTTGTATTCCGTTCGGGTGAGTTTATATTTTGCATCATACCACGTACGTGTATAAAATATACTATTTATTAAATATTGATACACTCGTTCAGATTTTAATATTATACTCGTTTGGTTCGATAGGTTTATATTAGGTTTTTGTTGGTCCACGGATGAATGTTTTAACATACTATAAGAATAAAAAAAACATCTAAACTATGAACTTATCCTAATTCACTATAAAGTGTGTGTGTGCTGACACATACATGCACACACACACACATACACACATTACACACACACACACGTTGTGTATGTTAACTGCATACTACTATTCAGACGCCTTAATTTGTCACTTCAATATGAACCTGCATGGTTAATCCACTATAGCGCATCTTGTGTATTTATTGAATCTTAGCATAGTAATGTCCAGTCACACTTATAATTAATATAGGCGCTGTGCACACACATACTTGTTTAGCTTGCATTTCATTTGTTACAGTCAATAAGAACAGAATTATGCACACCTGAGAGACATATTTTTTTCTTTAATATATACATTTCCTAATTCATTTTAAGGCACTTATCTTTTATCAAATAGTTAACGGATGAGGTTCTCTCTTAAACAGGTTGCTCATTCGGGTTGCTCATTATACCCAAAAGCAACATGAATTAAAATGAGGATGCAAAGATGTACATAATAACAAATGTTCTCTCTATTCAAATCAGAAATTCGCATACCGGGTGAACATGCATTGGTTCACAATGTATATTTTTTCTTGTGTATAAACCCATTATCATTGCTGCGTTTCACCACCACGCAGCTGCTCACGATAATGTCAGCTAATTGCACGGCACAGTTCATGAACCCATCAACACCACAAGTAAGACAGGTTCTTTAGACGGGGTCTGAGCAATTACTTGTGCCGTGTAGCAATAGGCCATGAAAGTATTAATAATATATACTTTATAAGGGCCCACTCATATTGGCTGTCCATTATTGTAAAACGTAAATATGCTTTGTAATTGGTGTGAGCTTGTACACACACTTAGGCCCAATTGAGCGAGTGCACCTCCAATAAGCATAGTTGGCTACGTACGGCGCGAAAGAAGTTCAACATACACACAACAGAGCGCGCGTCTCACATGCGCTGGGCACTTCGTGATGTCATCGCGAGCCCCGCGACATGCGATTGAGATCTTTCCAAGAAAATACCTCCCAAGAAAATTTGATAAAGGCGCCCGCAATGAATGCAATAATTTAAAGTGCGCTGTGCCCTGGAGGGCGAGGGGAGAGCAAAGAGGGAGCGAGGGGAGAGCGAGGGAAGAGCAAAGAGGGAGCGAGGGGAGAGCGACGGGAGAGCAAAGAGGGAGCGAGGGGAGAGCGAGGGAAGAGCGACGGGAGGGCGTGGGGTCTAAATCATCCTCGTCAGGAGCTGTCACTGTGACTGCGTCAAGTCACAAGTGCGCTCGTAAATTGAACTTTTGTTGTTTGCACTCAGCGACGAGCGAACATCCAATCCCGTCTCAAAACGGTGACGATAGTAATATTGTTTTTAAAAACAACTGCACTGATGATCTCGCCTATTCCCACCCTGTCTCTACGAGTCAGAATGTACGCGATGTCTAACGTTGGCAGCTCGAGTAAACGCCAAGTTTTGCTTCTCGCCACACCTTTAAAAAAAAATGCTTCACGAAGTAATTATGCTCAGTCACTCTTCAATGACCATGCTTGTGTTTTTTTTTAGTTTCCTTAAATAAGGAGCAAGGATAACTTAGCACAAAGTCATCGGCGCTCATGAACGCACGCACCATTTAACAACAACTGGAAGAGGACGCCCGTGTTGGTCGGAGTTTGAGTCTGGTGGCGCATCTAAATGGTTTGTTGAGCCTATAATTGTTTCGACGTGGAAAAGGGGTTGCTTGCTGAGGGATTGTACAAGAATTGATTTTGCTTTGCTCAGATACGGCTGGCTAGCAATGGGATAATCACACTGAATCGATACGACGCTAGGCTAATGTGGAGAACAAAAAGCGCAGTTGCAGACGTCGTTCAGAGAGGTTCGCCCACCGGATGGATTTATGGACGTGACCCTGTCTCCTAGCCGGGAGGTGATGCATCGCCTCTGGGCGCTCATAATGTATCGCTTGCAAGGTGGACCTCATAAAAGATCGGCCTGCATCTGAAAAGGACGGACCTTCAGAAGGTGAAAGCAATTGAGTGATCCTGAAAAAATAAGGACGGAGCGATAAGAAGATCAGACGCACGTGAATTCCATATATGCAAATTAATTCGTTGGGCTAAAGTCATTAATATAAATAACATTCACGACATTCATGATTGCAATTCATTAATTAAAGATGGTGAAAAAGTGGTGGCGGAGGTATTGTTAATTAATCTGTTTCACGCGTTACATTTTGCAGCCAAATTGCAGGAACGTGAGTGTCGCAAACAAAACGAATATGCGTTTGGCGGATAAATTATTAATCGATTACAAGGCCAAATGCACGATGGTGTGAGCGTCTTTACTTGGTTTTGTTTGCACAGCCATTACATGATATATGAAGGAACGAGAAGGCGTTACAAAAAAAACGATTTTCACAACACACAGGCAGTGGTTTGGCAGATAAATAATAAAACACCACAGTTGCAGCAGAAAGAAAGAATTGCTCGGTGAAATTAGGAACCGCTGGAAACTTTTTCAAGGCTTCCGGCTGGAGTGCGAAACGTTTTGATATGTGCCCATGCACTCTCGACTGAATGACCCGCAGCAGACCATGTGCTTTTGTTGAAATTTAAATGACCACGGTGTAATGTTGGCCGTCACGCATTTTTCGTGGCGATGCAGTCGATGTACCACACACTGCAAAGTCTGAACGGAAGGCGCGGTTTGTAACGTTACGTAATTCATTACGTCGCAAGCTCGTTCCATTTTCTTGTCCGTTTTGCATCAATTCACGCGCAAAACCATTATCACTGCTCAAGAGATCACCGTCAAATTCATAATAAATGTTGGAGGCATTTGTGTATTGTGTCTTTTTTCTTCCAAGAACAGAAATATAAACACCTAAATAAATAAACAGAAAAAGGGAACTCATGGATATGAGAATAAAAAGAGCAAATTATCATGACATCATGATGACTGGTAAGATAATTTAGTGGGCGTGGGCAGCAAGGAATGATGATTGATGAATGAAACTGGTGATTGAATGGCAGTCAAAGGAGAGAATACGCCCAGGAGGATGCCCGGCACAGAGATGGAGCGATTAGGTTAGCTCGTGCGGTCCAGCGGCGAGATGGATTGTGGCATCGCACGGCCATGAGAGATGGGAGAAACGCGGGGAAGCCTTCATCCATCAGTAGATAGAACATAGCTGCTGATTATGGCAACACGTGTCAATATGGTAAGCTTTTCAAGATGAATCCCTGCAGTCACAAAAGCTTTAAATCGAAAAATAATAGCATAAATTAAACAAAACATTGATTCGTAAATGTTGGGTGCTCGGTGCACGTGTGTTATGGAATGTACAAGACCGTACAAATAATGCTTATAAAATAAATAATTCCAAGCCGTTTGATCATCCAATGTTGGATGAAGTCCTCCCCCACGAAATGTTGGTCGTGGCTGTTGTAGACGAAATTTCACCACGCCGCTCAGTGCGGTTTGGCGAAAGAGGCGACCCGGGTCAGTTTCAGATAACACTTGCCACTGTTATTGGTCGTGTCCGGGAATCAAACATCGGGGTCGCCGTGTCCACAATGCTGTGCACTGACCCGACTGCACCACCGCTTCCCCTACACTACAAATGGAAAGAACGTCCACCGAGGAGACGGAGCGAAGCGATCCGCTCGTGCGCGTGCCCGCAGATTGTTACGTCACAGGATCGCGAGAGATTTGGCGGCAGCTTGAGGGAGACCTTCATCCAGCAGTGGATTGACCACGGCTGATGATGACGATGAGCATGATGATGAATATGCTGTATATTTAATTCCCTCGTAACATCACCGCATGCAATTGCAGGCCTTGCATCATGAGCTGGTGAGTGGGATGAAGTGGTGTGCCCACTGAGTTTGTGAGTGCAATTCATTCTCCATGTACTTATTTTGGAAAAAAGGAAAACACCGTCTAAGGGAGATCTCTTTTAAGCGGCATCTGAACAACCAGCAGTTGGCTCTAGCCCGCAACAATGCCAACATTGTAATATCAGGCCAATTTTCCATATTACACGGTAATTGAAAAGTCCCTGAAAATGTATTAAAAGTGTAACAGTGCATAACTAAATAAAATCACACAGAACTGACCATTGACATTTCTTACACGTGCTCTGTTTAAAATTAACATTTGTTACAAAAAAAATTTGCACAAAAAAAATACTTTCTCGTGAGGCAAGACATTTTGAGGTGCGCACTTTAGCAAATGCATGAGCAGGCTTCATTTGAAGAGAGGCCAACTAATACAATTAAATGTGATGTTTTGCATACACGTGCGGGAGCTATAAAAGTAGGGGACTCTGACTTACGTAATGTTTGAAGTGTAAAGAATGGGGCAAAGGATGACCAGGGCTGCGCATTTGCATAATAAGCTGTCGTAGTTTTTTGATGCCACTCTTTGAACCTTGTCACTATCTCTTACTCAGAACAGCCACGCACAAGACAGCCAGTCGCACTACAGTACCTCCGCTGCCGCTTATTACATCGTGTGTTCTCTCTGTGCGACATGACACAAATCAATTGATGATGGGTGTCACAAGCCCTCTGCGAAGAACACAAATAATGCTACGCTCGGTGTTTTTTTTTCTTCTTCTTTTTACCGTGTACCTTTAATGACACTAAGAGATGCGCTATTGTTGGGACGTTGTGTTTTTTCTTCTCTCCTTTGGTCAGTAAAGATGATGGACGGGCACAACAAACACAAATCGAACAACATTGAATCCTATAAACAAAAACTTGATGGATAATTATAAAATAAACACTGCGCTGTCATTCATGCCTGCGTTCAGATTGTTGCAAATATGTAACTATAGCGTAGGAATACAAAAATGCACGTAACCAATGCATGTTTTTAAACAATATATGCATATTTATGAGTTTCCGAGTAAAATTGAAGATGGTGCCATTCATTAAGTAGCAAAACTGAGTCTACGCTACATAATCGCGGTGAGTAAATCCACACGACGTGAAAAAAAATAATGTAAGACTGCACGTAAGTTTGTGGAATGTTTTCCTCTCGTGTGCTACTGTTGTCAATGTTTAGTTGTAAGTGTGTTTAATTGCCACGACTTAATCGTCTGTGTTTGTGTGTGTGTCTGTTGCAGATTTTTGAGATTTGAAAAGGGACAATGGCACGTGATGGGGCAAAAGTGAGTTGGGCCATCTCGTTTCTGTATTGAAGCAAATCGCTGTGTTCAATGTTGGTGCGTGACTTACGTTTCGCATTTACCACGTAGAACCAATGTCTCTCATCCACTGTCGATTTCATTGCTGCGTACGAGATGAAACTGTGTTGGATGAAATGCGGAATAATACAAAAAAAAGATGCACAACTAACTTGAAACGGGAAAAAATTCCGTGCAATTGTATTTAGACTTTTAATGCCGTATTACATTTTACAAAACAAACACGGCATCCTTGAGTCTGAAATAGACAGATGCCTGATGAACGCCAGTTGGTTTGAATTTTCATCATTTTAACGCTAGCTATATGTGCTCTCGCCTTATCAAGGTTGCAGACTATACATCACACTACACATTGCGAGCCGTTGTTAGCGTTTTAGTAGCATTGTATTACATATTTGTAAAAAAAAAGAATAGAACCACAATAGAGTTCTCAATGAGGATTTACACTCGTGCCATGCACTTAATTAGCAAATCTAGTCTTCCAAACCGTGTTTGTTATCTCAGTGTGATATAGTTGAAGAATTTCAGTCGGAGGTAGTGATGGATGTTGTAAATTATAAATAATTTACATTTGGATTCAAAATAGACATTATAGCGATGTTAACGGTGTTGAGTAAATCATCATTCAATGGCTGCTTGAGTGTTTTTTTTTTCACTTTTACATGGATACATGTTTTTTTTTAATTTACTGTTATCATGAAATGCATATAAACTGAAACCTAGGAGTTGCGTTATGAGAACTTCATTGGATGGAGAGTACCGTTAGGAATGTGCCAGAGGAGACGAACTTGACGTTGCGTTCAAGCAGATGGTTGTCCCACCGTCCCTGACGTTGTGCAAACATAAAACAATGCTCATGCATTTGTCCACCAACACTTACATTTATATCCGAGCGATGTGTTACCAGGTTCTAAACAAGCAGCGTTAGATCATTGATCCAACGAGACCGTGATTATTATGTAGTCTCTGAGCCCAAGTAACGCACAACTTTGACTGATCCCGAGACATTTGGAGAAAAGCAAAACACTTTCAATAAACAATATATAAGTATTGTATATACAAGACCACCATATAAAATGTACCTTGTAAAGCTCAATGAACCTGCTATATACAACTAACGGAATAAAAAAAAAACCGCGTATGGATGTTGAACTTCTTTCGCACCGTACGTAACCAACCGTGTCAATCGGATGTGCGGGAAATGTATTGATTCAGAAATAAACTTTGTTTTTCTGGTAAGAACCCACTGATATGCAAGACATGTATGCTTTATCCTTCATGAGAATGGCATCCACATATTTAGCTGTCCATCATGCTTTAGGATTCTGCACGCTGACATAAAGAGGCGTGACTAAATGTACAATACAATAGAATTTGTATTAATGCGGCATCGCAATGCGACTACGTCAATGAGATGTGGGCATCGTTGGGAAAGGAGGGATGCTTATTTGTTTATTTTAATAAAGAAGCAGTCATTCATAGGCAGGGGAAAAAAATAAGTCGGTGTTGAGTCTGCACTTCAACAGCAGCAGGGAGCCGACAGCATGGAGGGGTGGGGGGGGGGAAGAACTCCAAACTATGGGGGCGGCAGCGGCAGCAGCAGCAGCAATAACATCAGCCTTGTGTCTCATGTTTACACACACATCGAGCATTAGCGTGAAATCTCCCCCCCCACCCATACACACACAGAGTTTGCAGCAGCACTACCCCCTCTCTCACATCTTCACCTCTACACCCTCGCCCCTTCCCCCAACCTTTTCCATGAGTTCTCTGGGAGAGGAGTAGTGTTAGCAGACATGGGTCATCTCAGAGGTGTGCCGGGGATGAAGGGCTATGAATGGGCCTTTGTCACCTTAGCGTTCTCAGGCAAAGGCGGGCAGGGGAGCACACGGACCTTGCTGTAGAACTTGGCAGTGCAGGCTTAGTCCGATAGGCTTAGGGAATGTGTCCCGCTAAATTGAAATAAACTCCCCGGAGATTCGTGTTGAAGGGTCTGTGTCACCTTCGTGATAAAAGTGGAAGAGTTGAACACAAGAAATGTTGTTGTGGCTGCTGCTGCTGCTGCTGTGCAGTTTGGCTCAAGGATTTTACATCAAGTCTCCCCTCTCGCTCTCTCACCGCTCAAACATGACCTTTGAAATGAAATACATACACTGGCTTGTCCGTATGTGTGTGTGCGTGCGTGTTAAATTAATATTTATAATAGTAAAAATGAAGCAATTAAACATCTGAATTGTTATTGTATCCCCTCATCTGTCATACCATTTGCTGAAAATGTCAAGTTTATTATTTCCAGCAATTTTTTGCTGAACATTTAGGTTCAAATTAATCAGGCTAGAATGAAAGTTAGCAATGCCCTGAAAAACAAATCATATTGAATTGGGATTGCAGCACTATACTTGAGGGAAAATCTGGCCCATGCTACGTGAAATTACAATGATCAGAAGCTTGTTGTGAAATGTTAGTTATATATTTAAAAAAACATGTTGAATTTTCTTCAAAAATGTAATGAAATCAAGATGTTTCCACAGCAGAGGTGCGATGGCTAGCCACTGAGAGCATTTGAGACAGAACTCTATCGGTTATGAAAGGAACGTCAAAAGTATATTTACACGATAAGGCGTTATTAAGCATATTACGAGCGAGCCTTGATGTGGTAATGTACAGGAAACATTCAGGGAATCTCATTCGTCGTGAGCAATAGCTGTGGGGGGAAAAAATAACAAGGAGGCGTTTCACCAGCAGAAAAGTTGCACTGGACATCTGTGAAAAAGAGCTTTGTAGCACATCTGATTTCTCCAGGATAAATAAAGATTCGAATAACTGGATAATCAAGTGAAAGATACAAATGATAGTTTGCTCCCTTGTTGGATCATTGACCGGTGTAATTATTAAAACGTACAGTCCATGTCTTAGTGTCGGGGCTAAATTGATTCTGTTTGGGCCATGGAACAACCCTCCCCACCGCCCCCCCCCCCCCATAGATTCTGTGACTGTTTTTTTGGGGGGGGGGGAGGGAGGGGGGGGCTTCATTCAATTTCGTAACATCCCTGTGGGCATTACCACGAGCTTTAATAAATGGCTTCTTCTTCGTAATGAGTTGAGCTCCACTGTCATGCAGATAAATGATTCTGATGGAGGGAAGTATATATATTTTTTCTTCTTTTATCAAGATTTTTTTTCTTTCCTCTCAGCGAAGAAAGCTGGGCTCTGTAGCAAGGCTTCCAAATTAATCACCCATCTCCTAATGCAAAACTGTCTGAAGCCAGACACCCGGCTGCGGCAGGCCCATGCTACCATGTGCCCGCGGAAAAAGGCACAGCGCATCTGCTTAGCGCTTAGCCCCTCATTTCGTTGAAGAGCATTTGAAGTAGCACGTGTCATTTTATGTTACCTGCTGGGATAAGTGGAGGAAAAACAGATAATTTGAAGTGAAGTGCATTGCAGGTAATCGCATACAAATGGACGCTTGAGGGATCACAAGAGGGTTTTTTTATACAATGGACGAAAAAGGCTTCCTTGTCGGGACTTAAGGGCTGTACACGTCCTGATAGTGGAATTCACTGTTGTTAAATGTCTTCGAAAGTAAAAAAAGAGCAACAATGATTGTTTTGGGTACGTTAATAATTCTGCTCAAGGGTGATTTTGCATCTGCAGCCAGTGTTACAGATGGGCATGCACTGCTACAATCAAAATCACGCGTACAGCATTACCGTTGTGCATTTTTCGTCAGCAACGTGTAGCACAATCATTTTGGTCACGTCACAATGCATCGTTACGGACACTGACATTTCATACACATATTACTTTGCCAACGTATCCTTAAACAATAGACCGGCACGTTGCACAAAAGATAAGTTGAAAGCAGCAAAGACATAGGCAACAATCGAGTCCTTTTGCGTCAAGGGTCAACCAGAGCACAAGCTTGTGTGCTGTAGTAAGTGAGAGTGCAACGTTGGAGGGGGGATGAGTTGGAGTTGGAGTTAGTGAAGGGAGAAGCCCCTTGATAGCGTCTGGCTTCACTTGCCGACTTTGCAGGAGGCAAAGTTGCGAGCTGCCTGCCGACCACTCCACTAACCCACCCGATGAGCCAGGCACAGCGGCGAGGTGTTCGGAGGCAATTGTGCGCAATACCTGGGATGCCTGGTGATATTTCGTTTGCCTTTGTCCGTTTACTGTGGCTTGAACGATGTACCCCCCCCCCCCCCCACTTTCTGCGTCACCCACAACAGCGATTTGACAAATTGTCACCATTCTGGGTCGCGATTTGATTAAGGATTGTCATCATTTGTTAACATTGTGGTGAAGAATGGTTAACGCCTCTAGTGGGTTACAGCGGTGATATAAACCCTTCGCATGCAACATATATGAGGTGGAAAATATTGATCCTGACACAAGTTATCATATACGATTATACGCATGTGACGTGAGCTTTAGAATCAATATTAATCGATGAATTTATGGAACCATTCTACCCCTAATCCGTCCCCAAAAATCCATTGATTTCTGACTCGAGTGCGCAGTTAGTTAAACTAGTTAGTTATACTATAAACTATATATATTTTAAACATTTTTTTTTTATTTTACCAGGTAAAGCTCACTGAGCTATATAGCTCTTTTTCAGAAGCGACCTCAATGAATTGGTTCATCATGTGGAAATGTATAGCAGTCAAATACTCGAAACCAATGTTGATTCTAAATATGGAGGCAAAACCTAGAGAGACCCAGAGAAATATCCACGCGACCACGGGGAGAACACGCAAACTCCAAATATACAGGCGTCAGGGTCGGGATCGAACATACGACCTCGTGTCTACCAGGCGAGGCAGTTAACATTTTGCCACCGTAGCAATTGTGATGTTTGAATTAAAGACTCTCACCAGCCATTGCGAGACAACATTGGGACGATAACAATCAGATGGAATGGATAGCAGTAACACGTGGATTGATTTAAACTTCATTTT